CCCTGAACCCAAAACCCTAAACCCTGAACCCCAAACCCTAAACCCTAAACCCTAAACCCTAAACCCTGAACCCTAAACCCACAGCCCTAAACCCTAAACCCTGAACCCTAAACCCACAGCCCTAAACCCTGTTCATCCATGCGCCACGCGTCCAGCCTTCTCGAGGTTCAGGAACCTTTGGAAGCGGCGCCCTTGCTCCAACTTCAGGCCCTGCCAATGTTCCGACAGTGGCTCAGGGTTTAGATAATAGATATTAGGGTTTAGGGTTTAGGGTTTAGGGTTTAAGGTTCAGGGCTTAGGGTTTACGGCTTCGGGTGTAGGTGTAGGTTTAGGGTTTGAGTGGGGTCGTAAGCGAAGCGATCCTTCCTGCTGACGCCTCCGGAATCGAGACCGGAAACCCTAAGCCCCGAACCTTAATCCTAAACCCCAAGCCCTGAATGCCAAGCCAAACCTTGAGCCCTATAAACCCTAAGCCCTAAACTTGCCAACAAAACCCTGACCCCACTATCCCCTTATGGCAACCCTTATGGTGTAACCCCATTAAAAACATGAGTCGTAAACGCAACCCTTTCAAGAAACCCTAAACCCTAAACCCTAAACCCAAAGTCCCTAAGCCCTAAACCTTAAACCCTAGGCAGCGCCTGCCTCCTGCCAGAGCTGCTCGGCAACCCACAGTCGGGGCATCTCCCTGCGAACAAAGGGGTTCCTTTAAAGGGATCTACAGGGGTTCTATAAGGGTTCCTGCTTTAAAGGGTTCCTTTAAAGGGATCTACAGGGGTTCTATAAGGGTTCCTGCTTTAAAGGGTTCCTTTAAAGGGATCTACTGGGGTCCTAAAAGGGTTCCTTTAAAGAGGTTTCTGTAAGGGTCACAAGGGTTCTATAGGGGCTCCTTTAAAGGGATCTACAGGGGTTCTATAAGGGTTCCTGCTTTAAAGGGTTCCTTTCAAGGGATCTACAGGGGTCCTAAAAGGGTTCCTTTAAAGGGGTTTCTGTAAGGGTCACAAGGGTTCTATAGGGGCTCCTTTAAAGGGATCTACAGGGGTTCTATCAGGGTTCCTGTCTATAAGGGCTCCTTTAAAGGGCTCCTTTAAAGGGATCTACAGGGGTTCTATAAGGGTTCCTTTAAAGGGCTCCTTTAAAGGGTCTCTACAAGGGTTATAAGGGTGCTATAAGGGCTCTCTTACAGGGATCTACAGGGGTTCTATCAGGGCTCCTTTAAAGGGTTTCTACAAGGGTTACAAGGGCTCTGTAAGGGTTCCTTTACACGGGTTACTACAAGGGTTCTATAAGGGTTCCTTCAAAGGGATCTACACGGGTTCTATAAGGACTACTATAGGGTATCATAGGGTTCTAGAATAGGTTCCCGTACAGGTTCCTGTAAGGGTTATACTCAGAGTTACTATAAGGGTTCCTATACGGGTCCCTCCAAAGGTTCCTGTTTGGGTTACCATCAGAGTTACTATAAAATGCACGGGGGTTACTATTTCTATTACCCAGGGATGCCTCTGGCTGGGATTGGGTTTTAGGGTTTGGGGTTCAGGGCAGCAGGCCTGACAGGGGCGGTCCTAATTCTAGCCCTGCTCAAAACATGCTGACTAAATTTGTTCAGGAGCAGGCGGGGTTGAATTCAAAGACCTGGCCCTCAACCCTACGCAAACCCCACATACCGCTGAAGTTTACACCCTGAACCGGTTTAGGGTATGGGAGTTTCCGAAAATAGGGGACCCTAATATAGTACCCTAAATAATAGGATCCTTATTATAAGGACCCCAAAATAAGGTACCCTTATTTTCGGAAACCCCCATATAGGGTTCTCATGGTGTTCAGGGCTACCTGAGCGTAAGGTGCCTGTAGGGATGCTGCCGGCCGAGGAGGATCACGGCATCCCTGGCCAAGCACAGGAAGAAAGGTTTAGGGTTTAGGGTTTAGGGTTTAGGGTTTAGGGTTTAGGGTTTAGGGTTTAGGGTTTAGGTTTAGGGCTGCAGTGTAGGGGTTTAGGGCTCGGTGTCTAGAATTACATGATAACAATGCAGGGTCAAGTAAAAACTGCGAAGTATGGGTGAAGGAAATAGGATTTCTTGGCAACTGCTCTAGATTACCCCGGTCCAATGAAATGCCCGCACACGGTGTCTGTATCGAGGTGGGCTTCCGCTGAAAACAGGCTTCCAAGAGAAGGGTCCCAGGATCGTTTTCGTTTGTTCGCCATGGACTCAGCCCAGCGATCCAAATGTTGGATTCTACTCGACTTGTTGTTCATACACCGACGATGTGAATTAGGTCTGTGAGTCCAGCAAGCCGCCCCGGTGGTTAGGGATCTAACATAGGGGCCTGAAGAATTAGAATAGTGTAATAAGGAACCCCCCCCCCAAAAAAAAAAAAAATATATATATATATATAAGTAATTATTAAGGCCCCTATAGTAGCAAGACTGCGCCTGAAGCATTGGATGTCTACCGCCAGCTGCGACGTCTCGTCCTTGACCTCCAGCTCCTGCGACTGCTGAAGGCATGCCCTGCATGCCCGGCAGGGCGGTCGATTGCGATCAAGTTTTTAGGGTTCGGAGTTTACTTCAGGGGTTAACTTTAAGGGCAGGGGCAGAGCCCGCACCGGTGACTGAGCCGGGGTAGCCCGAATTGAAACCTAAGGCCATGCCGGGACCTACTAGAGCATCTTCGTTTGCGGGGCGCCCTACACATTACAGGGATAGGTACTACTTAAGCTCTACGCCATAGCAGACTGTTTAAATGAGACCTGCCCCACAGCCTGAACAACGAGCGGCAGGGCAGATAGAGAACGACACAACATCTCATGCACTAAAGGACCTCAAAACTGTCCATAGTTCAAGAAACAATTCCCCCAAACCCTGAGACCTCCTGTTAGTTTTGCCGGAGTCCAGGATGCGGGACTCTGCTCCCATGAACTGATAAGCAGTAAATGCATGTCTCAACGATCAACCGTAGCCCCTAAGCCCTAAACCCCCAAAACCCCGATTCCCCCAAAACCTCCAAACGTTACAACCCAAGCCCCAAAACAAGCAAGAGTAGGTATGGGGACATACAATGTCATACAAGTACCCCAGAGTCGCAGACTGCGGGTCCTCGGGCTTCGACATGGGATTTAGATCCAGCCAAAAATCTTAGGGCTTAGGGTATCGGGGTTTAGGGCTTGGAGCATTGGGGTTCTTAGGGGTTTAGGGTTTAGGGGTTTATAGGGCTTAGCGTAGTGGGGCTTAGGATTGATTTCGGGCATAGGGTGCCCAAACCGACCAACCCGTCCAAACCCCAAAACCTCGACACCCCCAAAAACTGAAGAACCCTTGTAGGCCCCTTCATAGAACCCCATGGAGCCTCATCGAACCCTCATAGAACCCTTGTAGAAACCCTTAAAGGAAGCCTTAAAGGAACCCTTAGAAAAACCTAGGAGCCCTCATAGTCATAGTGCCCCTAGAAAAACCTAGGAACCCTTATAGAACCCTGAGAAAAATCTAGGAACCCTTATAGAGCCCTTCGAAAAACCTAGGAACCCTTAAAGGAACCCTGAGAAAAACCTAGGAACCCTTATAGAGCGACTAGAAAAATCTAGGAGCCCTTAAAGGAACCCTGAGAAGAACCTAGGAACCCTTATGGAGCCCTTAGAAAAACCTAGGAACCCTTGAAGGAACCCTGAGAAAAACCTAGGAACCCTCATAGGAACCCTGAGGAAAACCTAGGAACCCTTATAGAGCGACGAGAAAAATCTAGGAGCCCTTAAAGGAACCCTGAGAAAAACCTAGGAACCCTTATAGAGCCCTCAGAAAAACCTAGGAACCCTGAAAGAGCGACTAGAAAAACCTAGGAACCTTTGAAGGAACCCTTAGAGAAGGCCTTTAAAGGATTTCCCGCAAGACCGCTCCTCTGGCTCGCGACCCAGCAGCACCAACAGCCCACCCGGCCTGCATGGTTTAGGGTTTAGGGTTTAGGGTTTAGGGCTTAGGGTTTAGGGATATATTACTGGAGTAGGTTAGGGCTTCTAGGCTTAGGGTTCAGGGTTAGCGGCTAGAGGTCTTAACATTTTGGGGGGGTATGTTGCCCTAGACCCGAAACACTTTCCCTAAACCCTATAGGCCCTAATGGGGCCTGGAGTCGGGTGCGCCGGGTCTGGCGTTTAGGGTGTTGCGGCTTCGTGCCTCGAATGTTAGAGTTTAAACCCGGACAAAAGCCCTACAGTAACCTTATAGTAACGCTTATAGATCCTGGAAAGGAACCCTATAAGGAGCCCCAATACAGTTAGCAACTACCATTTCCATTTTCTAAGCATGCACCACCCCCTAGCACCCAAACCTAACAACCTATACCCTATACCTCAACCCCAACCCCACCGAAAGACCCATCGGAAAGACCCACCTGAAGACCCAAAACCATAACAACCTATACCTCAACCCTAAACTCACCAAAAATCCCAACCCGAATACCCATACCATGGGAAATAGTAGTCTTTAACAAAATATCTATCATAGGAATAAGGCTTGGGAATAAGGTAGTAACAACAATGAAGGTATGACCTGTAGCGTCTAAAGGATCACAACTAAATTATACTTCAGACCTCTCAATACCACTACCACTTTCGAATCAGACCCACCACAACTCCACTTGAAGACCCCAACTTAGAACAATCCCATTCAGTAGAACCACTGCAAACTCCACTAGACCACCACCCTAGGCCAACCCAAGTCCCACCGCTTGCACCCCTATAGAAATCCCCGAGCCCTCCAACACCGAACCCTTAAACCCGGAAATTGTCTTCCCCTAGAACTTTAGGGTTTAGGGTAGGGAGGTTAGGCTTAAACATGTATGTGGTTTTTCTGGCTACTTCTTATGCGGCGACAGCCCTGAGGCGTAAAGAGCGCGCGGCCTGGTCAAGCCCGCCAGCCGCTTGAGTAAGCCCACCTCCAGTGGCTTTGGAGCTTCGGGTTGGGGGCTTCGGGTTGAGGGCTTGGGGTTTCCGGTTTAGGTTTTGGGGTTTCGGGTTTAGGTCTTGGGGTTTCGGGTTTAGGTCTTGGGGTTTCGGGTTTAGGTCTTGGGGTTTCGGGTTTAGGTTTTGGGGTTTTGGGTTTGGGGTTCGGGGCTTCTTCCAGCGATGGGGCTGCTAATGCCCACGGTTTAGACAACTTGGTAAAGGGTTTACCACTAAATACTTAAATTCACTCCGGACAAGAACCCGTCCTGTAATGTTGACTTGGCAATTATAAACCCCCCTCAAAAAAAAAAAAAAAAAAAAAAA